CTTAACATCAAGCAAACCGGAAGACAGCGGCACTTGGAACGACAGCCCTCTCCCAAGTAAGCATACGTTCGACACCCAACCACAACATACTGTCATTTAATTGGTAGGGCTTTGGTCACCTCACCGTTGATCTAAACGCCGTTGCAGCACGTCAATCGGAACCTCGTCCAAATCTGCAGTCGCCCACGGATGGTTTTTCGGAATCTCAATCACCGCCTCGGGATCGGTGCCTTCCGGGGGCAATTGCCCCTCCGCAACAAAAACCGGCCGTAGCTGCCGCCCCCCCCTCTGGTCAGCTCTTTTTTGGCGGGCGCGCTCAATCTCTGCCGGAGAGGGCTGCCGAGGGGAAGAAGTGGCGGAGTTCGTCCAGAGCCAGGGCCTGGGGGCAATGGACGAGTAGGTCAATCAGAAAGTCCTAATTCGAGCCAAAGTTGATCGAAGCATTTGCATGCTCTTTTTGACATTTGACTTTGGCCGCTTGAATACGGAGTCGTCTGGCGCATTCACAGATGGAGCCCTCATGTTTAAGACATCAGGCTAGGATGAAGGAGATACGACTCCCTTTGAAGGCCAGCAGATCCTGAGGCGGTTTGTGGGCATGCGGAAAGTGAACAACAAAATCGCAGCTTCGTGATCATTTAAGCTGCTTCATTACTTGTAGCATACCGGTAGCTTTCACCAAGAGGCAAAGGGATCAGAAGATAGCTATACATGAAGAGGCAAAGGGATCAGAAGATAGCTATACATGAAGTCTGACTGGTCTCACCCTTCTATCGGGGCCTCCCCTTTTCTAATCAAACGGTTTTGGCTCTCTTTCCATCGCTGGACAAGGAAGAAGGCCACGACGCCGGTGAGCACAAACCCCGCCAGGAAAAACCAGCCTTTCTTGCTGTTTGCTTGAACAGACACTTCCTGCAAGACATCAACCGAGCTTAGGGTCTTCGAAGGTCTCTGCCTTCTGGGAGAGCCTATACTGACCTGTCAAACATCTGATGCAGGACATTTGCTGGTGCTAAGTTAAGTGTATCTGGGTAACCAGAGGACATGGAAGCCGAGTAACTGCATGAAACACTGCATAGACTTTGCAGAAATCACTTGAAAAGATCATTGACTAAATGCGAAGTCCTGTCCGAGCATACAAATAGAAATGTTCTCCTTGTTGATGAGGCAGCAGAAAAGCAGAGGAATGAAGTCGAGGGCCACGAAGCCAGGTCTTGCTAGATTAGCCAACAGCGACCTTCTGAAGGTAAAGATGAAGTTCTAGGTTGATCACAAACACCAATCTTCAAATGCAGAATCCTTGATTTCTGGGGGCTAGCAAGCGGCTTATTGAAGTCATCTCCAAAGACTGTCTTGATCTCAATATGTTGGACGCGGCCCCTTGATTTGTCCTGGGCAAGGTCGATTGCAAAGTCAGTCACTCAGATGAAACATTTTTTTGGGCAGAATGCACCAACCGACGGCAGGTCCTTCATAAAGCATGAATGTTTGTATAGTGGTGAGAGTCTCTTACCTGGGCCGGGACGGTGGTCACAGCCACAGTCAGTTTCCTTGGAGCGCTGCGTTGGGTTTGCTGAGGAGAAACAGCTGCAACAATGTTCCGCCGACGCCATCTTTTCTCTGTTCTACCACCAGCGAGCTCGTGGGTCCGCGGAATGCTTCTCCCCCGACGTCTTACCTGAATGCTTACGGCATCGGAAATCCATTGTGATGATTCTGCAGCATGCCCACATCTCTTCCAAATGCGCCTAGAATGGTGCGATCCGCACGGTGCCAAATTGAGATTTCCCTGACCAAATGCACACTTGGTACCAGACTGCTGTCCTTGACAGCTCCGTAAGCTCAGCGTTGAGTGTGAAGGCTTTACAGATACCTCCATCCTTACTCCAAACTAACAACCGCTTACAACCGTGAATGAAGCATGTGCATTCAATGCACGTTAATACACGGTTCCTTGCCTTGTTCCAGCTTGAAACCCTCTAGCAAACAGGTTTTAATCCGCTTCATTTTCAGCATTACAATGCAGCTTTGTGCAGAAGCGGAAATGCATCACTTTGACATACGCAAATGAACATCGAAAAACTAAGCTGCGACCTCGAACTTTTGAAGGATGAATCCACTCCAGCCTTCAGGCTTCTCTTGAAGTGATCTGAAAGCGTCGTGGGAACTACCTAGTACCGGTATGGGAGGTCTGGACAGTGGAACTTGAAGCTGGCAGTGGAAACCATAGATCGTTCTACTATTGACATAACTTGAATAAGGCCCCAGACTGGTCTCCTTACCAGCGCCATTGCCAACACCTGAAAAGGCATCTCATCCGTACGTGTGATGATCGAGCGGCCGAAATTTTTTCACCAGTTCCACGGAAGCTGACTTAAACCCGGTAACGCGCCCCATGATCATGATGGCCTCCTCGGCGCGGGCATCAGAATCTTTTAGGGTTCACTTTTGCCACTTGTCTCTCTCGTTGAAAACCTTGATCAGTCTGCAAAATGGGCCGGCAGTAGTAAGGAGAATAAAGGCCTTGCAATCCTGCGATCTTTAACAGGGTTTGCTTGCGCCTCATACTACGGCTCTCGTGCGAACCATGTTGTTGGAGACGGGGCTTCAAGGAACATTGCAAGCCTTACGACAATTGTGGATTCAGCGAGGAATCAGGCAAACCGGACCCCTTCACTATTAGTCCTGGGACCACTCGGTTGACAGAGTGGTTGCGCTGTAATGTTCCAGGGAAAGTCACAAGCGCACAAATCTCTTGTACAGCCTCTTTAGTAACAAAGGTTTCATGACACTCAAACAAATCGAAGCGGACTGATCGATTGTCGGACTACAGCATTACAATCTGGTCATAGACAATCATTCGCGTCCTAGTCCAACTGCACAATTTCCCACAATGGAGGAAGAGGGGCCTGGACCAAGTGGAGCAGAACAGGCATGGCTTCCTAGTCCAGAATCAGAAGCAGTTCCACCAGAGCCAGCAGACTCTATGTCCCCAGTCCCAACAAAAGAAGCAACCTCGTCCTCCAAGGCACCAAATGAAACTCCAAGCGAACCAGAACTTGCTCGGTCCAAGTCCAAAGCTGGGGATGCAGAATGGAATGCAGATACACTGTCAGAGGAAGGAGAGGATGCTGAACTAGAGGAGGCAGAAAAGGAAGTGTTGGTGACGATCTTGGAAGCTGTGGAGAACGGAAGCTTGGAGCACCTTAGGGCGGGCATTGAGAGGAGGGCCGACCTGGAGGAAAGCTCGGAGACCTTTGGAGACACCCCACTGTGAGAAGCTCTCGGTGTTGAGTTTTTCAGCACAATCAGACAGGGCAGTGGTCAGAAGAAAAAGGTCCACTACATGGATCCTGGCTGTACTACCCTAAGAATCGCAAAGCCTTGTCTGACCCGACTCTCTTTGCTTCTAGCTTGATGAGCTTGGGTCCTTTCGTCCTAGCTTGAGACAATGCTACTGAGGACCTGATGGTGTGACCATCTCAAGCTCTTCCTTCTTCCATCCCTCCAAGGTCAATAAGAAAGTCAATGAGGCAATCCTCCGATCTGCCTCGCTAGCGAGTTCTGATTAGTCCTTCTGTTCGGATTCGGATTGACTAATGAACAGCCTCCTGGAAACCTTGACCACCTGACAAATAGAACGTCTGAGGTCTTGAAGGACAGCAGCTTATGTCTGAGCTTATGCCAAGCTCCTTCAATTGCAAGGTCAGGTCTAAATAGCTTTTGAAAGCCCCCCAGAAACACTTTCTTATCAGCTTCACCTTGTTCTGTCGTACCTGCTCTCAACTGCCCGCTGCTGTACGTGCAGGATCCTTGCTGCAAAGTACGGTCGCTCTGTCTATGTCAAGATCCTCATCCAAGCGGGCGCTGATGTCAATGCAATCAACAAGCTGGGAGACACGGCTCTACACTGGATGGTGAGCCTGAATCTGTTTTCTTATTGAATCAAGGCCATATTTTAAAACAGAAAGCTCAAAAAAGGTGGGGACGCACAGCTGTTGGCTTGCCAAAGCGTCTGTAATTGCATTGGAGGCCTACTGAAGCCAAGGAGCAACAGAAGAAGGGCAAACCTGCAAAAACAGCGCTCGCCAACCAAGCGTCTGTTCCGGCCCTGCGCCCCAAGAATGTTTGATATCTCTCCAGAAGTTCCAGAAGTAGTCAGCTTGCTTCATACAGATGCTCTCTCCAACGTGATGTATACTGCGAAGGTGGATTAGAGGATCGACTTCGACTGACTCTGAGAAGCGATTGCTGACTGAGTGATGTCTCGACGGATATCTGACAGATGTCGGAACTGCAGGTAGCATCATTGGAACTTATTCAAATCATTATTGGAGTATTAGATTGCATCACTTCACCATGGTCAGAACGACACGCGTCAATGCCAGACCTGATTTACTCTGTCACGTGCTGTTTTGTTGACACAAACTCCATTCTCCGGGAGTAAACGAATCGCTGTATCTCCGACTCCATCAGTCTCTCCAGCAATACCCAAAGGCCCGTGGCCCTCCACAGGCAAACGAAAGCAGAGCAGCAAGACGAGATCTACTCCTAACCTGCAATGACCTGTCCAGAAAACAAAACTTCGTCACAGAAAGTTCAAAGGAAAAATTCCAACAAACTCGCTCCCTTCCTTCCCAGGCCTTCAAAGGCGACGAGGCGTGCGTCTCGTTGCTCCTGGACCACGGAGCGCGCATCGATACCGCAGGGGAGTACGAGAACCGGCCGTTGCATCTAGCGTGCAGTGCGGGGCACCTAAAAGTCGTCAGCAAATTGCTGCAGCAGGGGGCTAGCGTGACAGCCAAGAACAGCTTTGGGAACTCTCCCCTGGACATGGCCACGAACTCGAACATCAGGAGAATGGTAAGCCCGTGACGGAACTTGTTACTCCGGGAAATTCATCTTCTCTGAGTTTGCTTCCTCTAACTGAATACAACTGGTATAGAATTGGTGTCAAACCTTGTTCTGTGTAAGGGGGCATTAGTATTTGTTTGAAGGTGTTTTGGATTCAGCTGCCGTCAAGACCATCTCACTCGTCATCGCATGAATGAGCAGGTCTGAAACCAGACACAAAGCAAGTACGTACTGTGTTTCGACCGCGGACGAAACCTCCTTTGAGCAAGCGGTCATAAATCCAGCTCGTAGCTCTCCAGCCGCTTACACCAACATGTAAAAGCGATCTCATTGGTCAAGCCCACAACTGTGCTTTTCAACTGGGAGCCCTAAAATCAAAAACTCTGAGCCTCACAAGTTCTGTGAGGAAGAAAGCCGCCTGCCTCAAAAGCCCTGACTCTCACGAGGACATCATACGCTCAATTGACACGCGAGACAAGAGAAACCCCCATTCTCGCACCCAACCTTGGGAGCCCTATCTGTGAACGGTTAGAAACGTCAGAAGTCCTGAATCTCAGAATTAAGACTTAGAGCCTGCTCTGAAAATCAGATCCTTAATAGCTGTACGACGAGTCGCTTGACGTATGATATCCACACTCAAAGGCCCAACTTTTTGAACCCTTCAATCCAAAAGCTTTCAACCCCAAAAGCCCTGATCCTCCTAAACCCTCATGTCTTCTGCCATCGTACCCCTCACAGGTGAAGGCGGTGCAGACGAACGGCGACAGCGAACGGGAGCGGCTGCAGGAAGAGGCCGCCGAGGAGGAGCGGCGGAAGCTGGCAAAGGAGGAGGAGGAGGACCGGAAGCGGGCGGAAAAGGAACGGACCCGACGGGAAGCGGAAGCCAAGGACGAGCAACGGCGGCAAGAGGTGGCGGCTGAAGAGGTGAGGCGCTTTGTAGGCATTCCAGCGTGGACGAAGGATGCTCGTTATGCTTCAACCGCACTTTTGTTCAGCTGCGAGAAGCTTCCTTTGATTCCTCGTAACGGTCACGCTTAAGCGATGCCACCAATTTCGGTGATCGAGATCTTTTTGTAGACCGCAAGAGGTGACAGACAGCGTTCTCGTAGGCACACGCTATTCTGACCAATCATTCAACCTAGAGCTTGCCTTGAATCTTAGAAATTTTCTTCGTTGGTTCGCATTGCACCAACCTCAAGCCTGTCATTCAGTGACCATGGCTGAAGGTTGGTCCCTGCCATTGAAAACGGAGATGTAAAGGCGCGGAAAGATTCAAAAGGTGTTTGTCTAATTCCCTCTAGAAGAGAAGCATATAAGGTTTTCAGTCCAAGAAGCATCGCTGTTCAAATTGCAAAGAATTATCTTCTGTTGACCTCATTTCGGGACAGCTTGCCTATTACAGCAGATTTCTGTACCGCAAGGAAACTCAACGGCAATTTCTTACGAGCGGTGTGTGAGTGTATCCCGAAAGAAACCTCTCTACAAGTACCTGGATTTGAACCTGGATGCTTGCATGTAAGCAGTTCAGCGTTTGGTTTCGAGCACTCCTAATGTGCCTCGAACAACACAAACCTATCCCTCGCAGAACCGGGTGGAAGAAGCGGCGCTCGCGCGCATTCGGAAAGCGGAAGAGGCCCTCCGGAAAGCGGTAAGCAACTGCAAAGCTCGGGCGGGACCTGACGATTCTGTTACGACCCGTTGCTCTGTTCGAGTTTCGTAACGGAGTCTTGACCGGCATGACATACACGGATGGCAAGCAACCGGACTTTGAGGGGTCTCAAGTCCCGGTAAACGTACACCGACTGTTTTTTGAGTTCAGCTTTGTGTGGATTCCCTTCTATGCTTGTGAGTTTCATCGGGATTGCAGTGGCACAGATATCATCCGAAAAGCTCTCTTTAAGCGCGATATTGTGCTAGCTGCGTCAAGTACTGTGGCATGGTTCCAAAACAAAGCGCTTCTGTATTTCAACGGCCCTTTCTGAAGTAAATGGAACTGGGATTGTAAAAGAGACGCTGAAGAATGTCTCGAGCTAATGTGAAACGTGCAAAAGCAGCACCTCTTTGGTCTCGAAACTCCGTTTTCAACAAGGAAGGGTCCGGAAATTCCCTGCGACCGCTTCGAAATTTTTTAGAGCACAGTCAACATTCAGCTGGTTCAGATATCAGTACGCTCGCTTCGAATTTCTTTTCCAGGAAGAAGACGCGAGGCTAGCGGAAGAAGCCGCGCAAGAAGCTGAGAGGGCACGGAAACAGGCAGAAGAGGACGCGAAGAAGAAAGCAAAGAAGAGCAAAAAAGATAAAAAGAAGTAGCAGAGCGTAATCCAGAATATCCTGACGTATGCGACGATTGGGTGTTAGTTAGCGCCTAACGAGTGCTCGTTAGGCCCTCGTCACTGTTGAAGCTTTGCGCGTAGAACCATGAAGCGGATCAATGAATCGATAAGCACTGAAAACTCAATGTCACTAGCTTGTCAGAACAAAAATACCTCTGTTAGAGCGCAGGCTGGGACAGGTGTCAGAAATTGTGAGGGCAATCCGTAATTGTCTATGGGGCTCTGTTCTAGGTCTCTGGCCTCCTTCAGGCTGAGTCGACACCATTCATGCAACGGGCCGATATCCTTGCGTCTGAGTATTTTCCAGCTGCCGCTTGAAGAGCTCCAATCCGAGGGTATCTTGTGTCAGCAACACACTGATGATTCCGACCACGCAAAGCAGACGGCAGGTCTCCGAGTAACTCATACACATAGTAAATCTGATATATGCATGTAATCTGGGCCGGTTTCTGATATGCACAAACGAGCTTGGTTGCGCCCGCTCTTGGGCCGGGTGTTGTCGATTGCTCTGAGCTCTGGCGATCATCTTTTTTAAGAGTAAAGCCCTAGTATTTTTCACGTAGGCGAAGATCGGAAGCATTTGGTGCAGCGTGCAATTCTTCAGTCACTGCAGCTCCCTGTGATCCGTAACGTCTCTGCGACCAGACACCAGCCGCGCAAATTTACGCTGGTCGCCGGAGCCAAACTTTCACATTGCAGTGCATGGAATCCATTCAAACGACAGTCCTTCGCGAGCTCAGCGGCTATGAGTCACAGACGATCTCATCAGCAGCTTTGCAGATCTGACAGTGTTGGCAATGCGACTCGAAGGTCATCTGACTCGCTGATGCCATCATGCACATTTTAGGAAGAACATGAACATGAAAGGTCATGCGGCACGAGGCGTATGGCACCGATACCTGTTCATGCGGTTGGCCTTCGACGAACTTCGGAACTACATGAGGCATACACGAATCATTGGCAGTTTTTATAGAATGCACGATTTTCAGATCTGCGCAGATCACCCAATCATTTATTCTCATTGCAACGGACATGTGAACTATAATGTATGATCGTGTCATTGAGATGACGTGTATGCGAGTGTGACGACTATACGGATCAAACGAAAAACGACCAACAAGAGAATTGACGGTTCCAAAGGATCACGATCACGATGTTGAGCAAGCTGCCCTCACCCTGAACCGTTTATTCAAGAACTACCACACAATTCCACAAGTTTTATACACCGCGGACGCCTGACAACAGACTACGCTTCCTACCCAACGTCAAAACCAACTTCTGTTGACCTCTAGCCGTTGATCAATTAAGCCAGTCTTCTTGCACAGGTCGCTCATGCCGCATGGTGATGCCGCGGGCCTAGCAAGAGGAGAAAGACCTTTTTATAGTCAGCGAGCGCTTTGATGGCGACAGCAAGGCATGTTAAGCACTAGAGAGAGGCCTCGTCTGGCTGCATGGGATTGACGGCGAGCAAAACGGCCCCGCAAGTATCGAGCGCCGTGCTCGTAACTTAACGGATTTGTTAGTTAAAAGCTGCAAGATTCATAACGGGACGAGCCAGATTCAACCACGTCGCAATGCGCGCCCAACTGACGATCGGGAGTCAATGACAAAGAGAACAAGAGATGCCCTCCTTTTAAAAAGGCAAAGCTGTGGGGTTTCGAAGGAAGCCTTCAGCAACATCAATTCGAGAAAGTGGACCCCGAAAGGGCATACAGACGGTCCATTTGAATACGTGGCAAAGGACACTGTCTCTGGAAAGGCCCAGACTGACGCTGAGCTGACTATTTGTAAGGTAGGGCGCGCGTTTCTGAAACAGAACTGGAAAGAATCAAAAAAGAAGATGATTCTAAAGATGCTTGTCCAATCGAACAGCATATTCCAGCAGGACGAAGAAACCACGAAGGGAGCAAGCCGCGTATGAAGGACCTATACTCTTGGGGGTCTACGATGGAACACGAAGAAAGAGCTGTTTGGATATCAGGAGCTAGCAAAAGATTTGGTCACCTGCCTGAAGAAAGGGATGATTTCAATGAGGCGCTCAATTCAATTCAGGGCTATCTGCACTGGTGCACAGATGCTGACCAGAACGAAAAATAGGCTCATTCCCAACGATGTGAACGCTAAAACAGGGATTTCTTTCCGTTCACATCATCCAAAGGTCTTGTCCAAAAGACTTCAAGCGTCATTCTTCCAGGAGCACACGCGCAGGTCTCGTTTTTCAAACCCAGTCAGTACCATGGAATACGTTGGGAAATTCAAATGGGACAAATCACACGTGGATGATAAGCTCACATCCTCACCTTAACATAGCGAGGAGTCTGCGGGACGGAGTCCTGGCAGGCAATGAACAGCTTGACGTAATGCTTCACAAGCGCATGAACTGCGTCGGCCTGGCCGCGTTGCGCCGCGTCGGTGAGCTTGTGGCCACCCTACAGAAATGGGGAGAACTGTTAGGCTTGGGCGAATATGCGTATTCCCAGTTGTGGCTGCAACGGACCTTCGTTCTTGAGGTCGAATGCTGAGGCTTCCACTAGGCCAACAAAGAACGTCAACCTTCCAAATCACTGACAAGATACAGGGCTGCTATTCTGAGAAGCTTCTTGAAGATAGAGCAGCGTTTTTGACTCTTGACATACTGGCAGAGTTCTCAGGCACTTGATGTTGATGCACAAGCAGAACAGAGCCTCAGATACTCGGAAGCAGAAGATCACGGAAGGAGATACTCTTCGTAGTCTTGCTGCTTTTCTAACTTACATCTCAGGAGACCCATTTGGTGCACTTTTGGAAGCAGACTCTGCTCCTCTGACAGTGTTTGACACAGCGCTGTGAAGAGTTCTACATCAGCTGGCATGCCTTCGCTAGTCATCCAACTTATGCATGATCACAAACCAAGGGGCTCTCTCATCCTGAATTGAGCAAAGCAAGAGGGGACATGGCCTGGACACTCACCCTTCCCTTCAGCTTGTCCTGTTGCTTCCGCAGCCTGTTGGTGATCGGGCGCCCCGGCGCAGCAGCAGGCTGCTCTCCCGGCAGCTCTTCTGCTTCCACAGTGCGCGCGGCAGGCCTGGTCGCGGGCGCCGGAGGCGGGGTAGCTGCTTCGGAAGCGTCAGCCTGCTGACGTTCCACTGCTTCGATCCTCCGCGTTAGGAGGTCGAGCATCTCAGCGTGGTTGGGCTCACTGGTCGCATCGCTGGAAGAGGGGTCGTGGAAGCTCGTGCGCGCCATCGTTGTTGTTGGATGGACTTGCGTTTGCAAGCGAGGCTGAGACAAGTTGATGGCAGCAGACAGTGACGCACTGAGAATGTTGGCTTTGGTAGCGCAGCAGAAAGGACCTCTGAGAGGGCTGGTGCTGGTTCTAGGATTTGGTTCAGGGTTGGTGTGTGCGCGGCAGAGGATTGAAGGATGAGAGGATGAGAAATGGGAAGATCAGAGGACTTATAAGATTGCCATTTGGACTCAAAAATAGATTCAAGCTGCATTCTAGCCATTGTACTACAGCAATTACTGGTCGTACCACTCGTGGTCCCGAGCAGAGTGTTGAGCCCTCGGATGCCAAGCAAGTCAATGTTGCTAGCTCAGTTGCAGTCAGTGCACCGCGCCGCAGCCTCATGCACGGTCAAAATTGCTTGGGCATGCAATTGCAGTGTTGCATGAAAACATCGTGAAGACCGCGGGGCTCAGCTGGACTCAGTGTATCATCTTCTCGCCGCGCCGGCGCCTTGGATTGAGTCGGAGTAGATCGGACGGCTCGTGCCTGTCTCGGAACCAAATCAACGGTTGCAGTCAAAACTTCGGCAAACTTTCGGCGTTCAATGATTGAAACAGTAACCAACATGGTCACGCACCTACCGGCGAAAGTATGTCGCCATGCCAGCTCGGCGAAGCCCCCCCCCCCTTCGGGGTCACCGGTGGGGTCCTGTAGCCTGGCTGTCCTGGGGCCACTTCCGAAAATGCACATGCAGTGCATGGGGCCGCTGGGGCGCATTTCATATACCTACTGGTACGGACCTACATTGCAAGTGTCCATTCCATACTGGTTAGCTGGAGCCTGGAGGATTTGTCTGGTGGACATTTGGCTGGGGGAGTACGAGGAAGTGATATTTACACATACGTAGTACCCAGATTCAATCCCTCAAAGTGGTCCGTGATCAAAAGCTTCATCAACCTTGAAAGCAGCCCTCAAGCGTTGAGAGAACATAGTATCTGGGCCTTTCTTCTTTGTTTTGAAGCATGGGGATGCCAGCGGATCCAGTACGTCGGCTATTCCGCCGTGATGGGGCGAATGTCATGTGTATTTTCTGTGGGGTTTCTTGGAATGCTAAGTCTACGGGTGCTCAGCGAATGAAGGCCCACTTAAAGAAGGATCCCGACCAGGGCATCCTCATATGCAACACGATTACTCCGGAGGAGCAGGCAAAGGTCGAGACATTCCTCTCCGTGCCTCAAGGGTGTGCTGCTACGGCGACCGAGCTTTGGCTAGGCGCACGGTTTGGCGCACTTTTGGCTGAAGTAAGTGTGCGCTTTGAAGAAAAGCGCATCACCACACTAGCACAATAGCTGAATTGTGCCGCCAGAATGAAACAATGTACGGTGACTACTTGGGAGCTGGTGGCTCCAGGATACATGATAGAAGATGAATTTGCAGGTCTGAGCCTCTGAGTAGGAGGGCATCTTGACAAGCAGTTAACATGCTTGCTTCTGGTTGTGCAATCCTGGCCCCATCTCTATGGGTAGGGCCCAAAGCCAACACAGCATTGGTTTACAGGAGCTTGATGAGCACACCACCTTTTCCGTGTTGGCAAAGAGTTAACAGTTTCACCCTCGAAGGCTTGCGTAATAGCGGGTGCTGTGTGTACCTATCTCTTGTGCTCATCCCTGATCCTCATGTAGGGTCAATCTCAGCTTGAAGACGCAGCGTAGTTGCGCAATCAAGCAATCATAATGCACTGCCTTTGTGTGAACCTTCTGTGCAGGGGCATGAACCAGCTGATGAAATGGAGGTAGGGGAGGGTTCTGGGTCGCTGACCCAGGACACAAGTGGGAGAGCCGTGGGAGAGTACCTTCAAGGTGCTGAGACTCTGGACCAAGTGCTAGATGAGCTCTGTGGCTTATCAAGACCACCTTATATGTCCTGATACGCATACTTTTATGGCCTAGCAAGGACTCTGCTATACACCCCCTTGGCACACCCGTTACCTAACTGCCCTACTCTTGCGCCATCAACTCCTTTCTGGACCCTTATTATGGATCAGTACCTGATACCCTTGTGAATAGGGCAGAGAAGAGAGTCCTGTTTTCGAGGGCGCTAGTTTGACCGCTGTTCGTGGCCTGTTGGAAGGGGGCTTTTTGAGTGCACGCTTTAAACTTCCATCTATGCCAACAAATGAGATTCTTTCGAAAACTTTCAGATGTTCACTCACTTTCAAATTGTGTTTGCAGGAACATATACTCAGCCCAATATCCAATCTGACCGCCCCTGGAATGAGAGGACTGCAGTAGGGACAAGCCAAGAAGGTGACAATTTGACAACGCTTGACGTGTATCCTACTGACTGTTGATGTTGCACGAGGGCAACTCCGACATGCCGAATATTTTCAGGGGCCAAGCTTCAGACTTCAGACTTCAGACTTCAGCAAGAGTTTCTTGGCTCACTGCCATGTGTGTCTGCAACCGCTTGTCTCCTTCTTCTCTTGAGAAGAAATTATAGCAACATTCAGCTTAGAGAAGGTGGGGAGCAGTCCTCTGGACGCAGTGTGCACTCCCTGTAGAACCTGGAGACTGGACTTTGTTCCAGTCTTGGCTCTCAAGCACATGCAGCTCCCCTGCTTTGAACCTTATCTGCTGCCAAGCAAACCCTAGCAACACCTACTCTATTACGCTAGATCAACATGTATCAGCTGAGGCTACAACAGTTGTGAAGCGCAGTTAGAGCTTGCTGGATTGGAAGACTTCCTATCTTAAGTCGACCAGCCTCTATCTCTGAGAGCTTTGAACAGAGCAACATCTGAGGGCATCTGCCTGTTTTCTGTAACCAATTTCGGAACTTGATTGGCTTCAAAATGCCCTTGCATCAGCTATGTCATTTTACTCCACAGGTACGCTGGACCAGCTTCCAGATAATTCAGAGGGAGGGTCCATCTTGACCCATTCAAGTCCTGAAAGCCCATTTGCTACAACAGTAAATGTACCAGGCAGCTCGTTGCAAGCATCCCAAAAGCATGATTCCTTCGTCAACGGCTGGAACGTCAGCGGTGTGGGCGGAGGCATTCACGGCCCTGTCACTGGTAAGCAGGCTTCTTTGATGCATGTCATGCGGGCGTGCAGCCTCTGCTGTTGCCGACAGTTCAGCTTGTGTCATACTTTACGAAGGAGCTCCAGTCCAAAATTTCGAAAGTTGCAAAAGGTGATGATCTCGAATCTTATGCAGGTTGTAGCTGATGCTTAGAGAATTTTTTCTTTCTTGTTCGTTCTGAGATTCACAGTTTGGTGAGGTTTTCCGGAAATATTTCGGTACTCAAGCACCACATGCATTCCCGTGCATGTCCATTCCAGCAGGTTCATATTTGATAACGTCGAATCGTCTCGTTATTGTTACCATCCATGTACCCCGGTGAGCAGGCTTCAAGTTGAGGCCTGCGCTTGGAATCAAGTAGCCCTGGCAACCATTTCCGGACTGTGAATCATCAAAGAGAGCATCGAATCACCTGCTGGCAAGCTGAAACTTGAATTGACTAACATTTCGAGCATTTCGAGCGACGCTGTTCAGCCTCTAGCCTCACCTCCTATCTAATGTCCAGCGCTTGCGGCTCTGTTCAGCACGTTTCTTGAGCACTTTCCTCCTTTCAACTTCTGCCGTATACAGCTTTTCATAACCTTCGTCATCGTGTATGTAGGCGAGTCAATATTGCTGCAAAAGCAGTCAGAAGAGGCGTCCATGTCCCGTGACAGGACTATCAATCGTCGACTTGTCTACAACAACTTAAACCCCTTGACCCCAGTCTACCCCTTGACCACGGCCTACACAGGTAAACTATCCCAGAAGTTTCCCTGTCCAGATGCAAAATGAGTGCAGGATGACTGCAGAGAAGATCAGCACACGCTAATGGCTGCAAACCCTTTCATTCATATCATTGTCTTCTTTTTCACGTCCATCCTTTTCTACAAGTAAGGAATGTAACCCACAATATCCTTCACTTGACAGCAGTGACTTGTTAGGAGGTCCTCACCTCCTGTTGTGCATCCCCTCAGTTGCAGATCGCCAACAGATTAGCTAGTGATTGCCGCGCGCTCCATTTTTGGAAAGACTGCTCCAGTTCTGCACTAGAAAGGCCGATTCCTGTTGTCCTCTGTGGTTGAGTGAGTGATCCTCTTAGAGCCCCTCCACTTACTCTGGCTGTATGGTGGCTAGCACGTCTTCCCTTTCAGTCTAGCAAATTGAAGGCGACTGGCTTCCGCATTTGTGCACCCTTTTTGCCTTGCAGATCATGAGTGCTTTGATGGTGCTCCACCATTTGCGACCCTGTTCCCGCCAGCGACTTTGGAGGAAAACAGCATCGAATCTTTCCTTGGGAACGGTGACCAGTTTGCGGGTCCCCAAAGCATGCACGGTCAAGAGCCTGCCGTCTCCACCGAAGATCCTGCTGAGATCAGCGTACAGGCAGACAACACAGGAGCCGGTACATGTGCTGATATTGCTCTTATTCGGCGGCCCGTTCCGAAGGATGAAGAGCCGAGACCGTATTGCAGGGCCGTTACGAAACGGTCTCTAGGACGTCACATGGGGGTCGAGGGAAGATGTGACCGCTGTGGAGCCACTCGCCAACTCGGGGGCCTCGTCCAGGTTGTCGCCTCTTTGTTCCTCCTGGTCGAAGATAACTCCATCAAGCTTGAGCTTCGAAACCTCCTGTGGGAGCTCACCGCCTGTCAGGTACGGAAAAGGCAACTCGTTCGAAAGGTTCAAAATGATTCAGAAGACTGAGGCAGCGAACGTTGGAGTTCTTTTTGTCATTCATTGTCCAATCTCCATCAGTCGTCGTGTTTGGTCCAAAAATGAGTTCTGAAGTAGGTTGGCCACCAGCTCTGAGAGAAATCTAAGCACCGAAAGAGACTTTTTCTCTGATTTACCTGATGCCACACGATGCGTGCCAACTCCGATATCTGTCGTGTGAGCTAAGAGCCGTGTGATTTAAGAAAGGCACCCGGGGGACGGGTGGGGTTGGTATGGTGGTTAGGGTGGGTTGGGGTGCGGAGCGGGTGATTATCTGGGTTAGGTTTTTAGTTTGAGGTGCCCGGTGAGCTCGTATCTTAGGTCATACGCCCGTTAGGTCACACGAGAGTTACCGGTATTGCGTGGCACCTTCCCTTCCGCTCTTCTGGCTGGCATCAGGTCGCCTGCTATGTGGCAACCTTGCTCAGGCAAAGCTAGCTAAGCTGGAAAGTCGGGTTACCATGACGTTGATTGACCTTCCTGGCAGCAACCCCATCTCCCTGGGCTAAAGATGGTTCCCCTGCAGGTCAGTCTCGGCAACGGGCCACTCTGGTACAGCCGGGACTTCGGCAGGATCCTGCTCGATCGACGGGCGGACCCAGACGAAGAAGCCGCTCGCTTGAGTTTTCTTGAGAAAGCCGTCGACGAGATGTTGACTCTTCTACTTCAGCGGGGCGAAGCCGATCAAGCCATCGGCTGGCCGCTCTGCCTACGGGTGCTGGGAGTCGTGGATGCCCTTCGCGAGCTCCTCAATTCCGAGTCAGCACCGGACCCCTTGCTGCCGGACAACTCGTCCGCAGGCGGAGACAGCGCAGGGGGTGGATCCGACGGTCAAGAATACTTGACGGACGGTTCGCCTTCAGCCGGGGACCAAGCGGGTGGCAGTAACACTGCGCCCCAGCAATACGCACCGCCTGGCGCAAACCTTTCCGGGAGACGCGTGTCGGCAGGCGGTGCGCAGGGCGGCTCTTCCAAACACAACGAGGCTGGACGCAAAAGTCTGCAAAGCGTTAGCAGCTCGGCTGGCGACGTAGAGGGAGACGGCCCTTCTGAGACGGGAGCAACTAGGGAGGAGGGAGAGGGGTGCGCAATCGGTGCGCCCCTGGAAGAAGGGGTGGGGAACAACCTGGCTGCGGTGGCATGGCCCGAAACAGCAGCTGCTGACGTCAGCGCGGACGATGGGGAGACGTCAGTGGGAGGGTCCGAAACGTCAGCTGCCGACGTCAGCGCGGACGAAGGGGAGACGTCACTGGGAGGGCCTGAAACGTCAGCTGCCGACGTCAGCGCGGATGAAGGGGAGACGGCAGTGGCAGCGCCCGGTTCGTCAGCTGCTGACGTCAGCGCGGACGAAGGGGAGACGTCAGAGACGGAGACTGAGGACGAGTGGGACTTGCTTGAGGTGAGGACATCTGACGTCGCCGGTTGTGCTCCGACGGTTGTCCACTTTCCGCAACATGCCTTTCCGAAAAAGTCATTTGCACATTGCTCAACGTTAGAGCTTCCGTATTGCAGAGGTATCTGGATTTGAAATCGAAGGGCGGCTTGAGTGCACTCTACGAGCGGTCGTTCTGTAATTTGTCCCGCAAGCCCTCCATCATTGCGATGTAATCAATCAGAAAAAGATAAGGGAGAAAAAATGTTCGACAACGTATGTTAGTATGAAAAACAAATTGGGGAAATGTAGACAGAATCTGTCGGTTTGGAGGTCGACCCTCAGGGTTCACTCGTAATTCTAAGCCTCCGAGGGCCTTCCGATCGTCAGGACCTTGACGACATCATCCGGCAGCTCGAGAGTGGGGCCGGCACTCCTCCCCGCCTGGATCCGACGAAACCGAAGGAATCGACGAAACCGAAGGGATCGGACACTGGCGACGACTCTGGCGACAAATCCGTCCGCACAATCGGAAGCATACGCAGCAGCGACATGTTGGTCACAAAGGCATCCCGTGAGTTTTACTGCTTTTGAGGATCTATTACTTGAAAGGAAGTACCCGGTACAACAGATCTGACTAGAAGCTCAGCAGATATAACGAATCGCTTCGTACCAGCACCCATCCTAATCACCAAGCCAGTCCCAGCCGTCCCCCGGGCAATGGCCTTTTAGGATCTGTTATTGAACTCCTTTTCTATACGGCGATTTTCGTCCCCACACTCGCTAATGTCAAGCACTTTGCACGCAATTGCACTTGCTTCGTTCAGTTGCCATCGCCCCTTTCTGGCGCATCTGAGGGCTTGACGCGGGGACAGGGATCAGTGAACGTAAATTACTCGAAACATGCAAATGTGGATCTCAATGATGGAGTGCCCTTTTCTCAATAGGACTGCTTGTAGTCTGCACTTATTAGCAGAAGTCACGTAGAGTTGCGGTCTTGTCGCTTTGTGGTTGAAAGGCTGTGAAGCAGGAGCCACATAGAAGAAAGCACTTTGACCGCGCATGAGCTACTCTGTCCTGCTTTGAGACGGTGCTTATATGAGCTGGTCGTATCTATGTCTTCGATGCTTGTTCATCGTCAGAACGGCTTCAGTTGCGTTGCTGGAGCCGAAAGAAGTCTGTCCTTTCTGAGTGCATCGAATTGCTCTTCACGAGTGCTTACCGTCATGTGTCTCTTCTCCAGAATTGACCGAGACGGAGCGGGAATGTTGGCGCAAGGACATGGAAGGTTACGGCTTCAAGTATTGTCCACCAGGTAAGTCGCTCCTAATAATTAGCTGTAGGTTCTATACCAAGACGTCTGAGCTGATTTGCAGCAAACCACCTTATATGTCCTCTTCCCCGCAATCCTCTCCGAGATTCACGCGCAGTTGATTGTAAGTCTTCGGATCTTAGAGCCACTTCGAATCCATCTTACTTCTTCTTCATCTTCCCAATGCAGGTTCACGCACCAAGTATCATAACTACCCGTTCATGGACGGCAAGGGGAACTATTACCGGTCGTACGATGAGGTAAACGTTACTGCTTCTCACTGCATCGCGCGGTGCTCTCAATCGTCCCTCCTCTGTGTTGCCCAAACGTCTGCCTCGCGGTCGTATCGTGTTGTTCACAGCTCCTTGTCAGTGATCGTGGCTCCTCGTTGAAGATGATCCTTTCGTGAGGCCCAGCAATCTTTGAAGCAGATTAGACTTGGCATATAGAGGGTAAATGGAACTCAGATCTGCCTTCCTTTGTTGCAGGCGTGCGACGAGGCCGACCGAAGACGGGGCCCCGGAGCAAAAAAGTAAGAAACCGCGGCGCTTGGCCCAATTTGTGGTGCTGTTGGATCCGTCGCTGTCGTGTATCTCTATTTCTTCCATCCGAATTTTCGACAAATCTGAACGCTCTACTCTTTGCCAGTCCGCTGCCCGCTCTGCCCTAGAGGCGTAGCTTCGCTTCTCAATCACTGCAGTTTGAAGTGTGTTTCTGCTCCTAGAAGCGGCGATTTTGATTCACAATCAAGTTTGGTCCTCTGCTGATGTCATGCGCTTCTCGATTCAAAGACGACTGTGTAATTCGCAAGCAAGCCAGAAGAAACATACATTGCAAAAAGCGTGTTTCTTCTACGTTGGACGAGCGGTTATCTCCCAGTTGGAGCGGACTGGTGAAACAAGTGATATCGACATGAAGTTGATCAACCGGGTCTCTATACCTCCAAAAGGGCATTGTAATTTATTTGCGAGGTTCGGCGTAACATCAGTCCCCGCCTATGTGTGCCTACACGCATTTTCAAATATCCCAATCGGTGGGTGAAAAGTACGCTGGTAATAGGAAAGGCTTGATCGATGCAATGTCGCGGTTGCAGGGTGCCGAGAGCGGGGGCGTACAAGCAGGTTTCCTGAAGCACCACGTGTCGCCTCAGGCAGAGATGGCAGCGGCAATAGCTCAACGTTGTGGAGCGGAGCAGAGTAGCACAACGTCGTGACTTTGTTGGCCCCAGCTTTTGGGCTTCATGTAGCACTGCATGGTGGTTGTCAAATATAGTTCTTCTTGTAAATAGTAGCTGGTTGCTGTATCGGTGTTCGGGATGAGTTTCAGGCTTGTCTTACAGTAGGTCGACTGTCACATGATCTGTACATATTGCACTGGACGGTCCGAGTGACTTCTGCGGGTACATATTGCAAGTGGTCGATCAAGGATCAACTTGTAGGACAAACGCAACTCTGATCAGGTTCGAGTTAAGTTCGACTTGCGGGAGATCATGGCCCGCATCGGCTGAGGCCAGTACATAACGAGATTTCTCCTTGTGGACGTCAATGTTCCTATAAGAGACGTGGGTGGTTCGCGTGCTTGTACATAGAGATGCCAGACAGTGGCTGCATCAGATAGAGCTGCAACGCGCAATTTCCAGGAAGTCAGAGTCGCGAACTGAAACAGACGTTGCAGGCCTCACGATATGACTGTCCACCGTCGCGATTTCTTTGAGTCTTGTATATCTTGCATGCCATTTGAACTTGCATGCACTCAGTATACTAGGCAGATTGGACACGCCATGTCCTATTGCGTTGCAATTGGATATAGATATTCCATACTTTACAGGTGCAGCCGCGTACTATACCTGACAGACTACAGGCCCGGGGTTGTGCCGACATGTGCTCACCGATCTAGCTACAGATCCGATCCAGCTGGGCGGTCCAGATCCAGATCGCGATGCAGATCCATATAGGCCGCGCTGATTCAATTTTTCGATTGCCAATTTTGATCGAAAGGCAGTACGTCACTGCATCATGTGCCAGCGCCGTGACCAGCTTCAATGATCACTCCATACATGCACTGATCTAAAGTCTTGATTGAAGCATGCCACATAGATTGCGTACAGACATGTACAGGCTCCAAGCTTGCATGATTCCCGGCGCTCATTCTAACATGGGACGTACGCGTGACCGACCGCAAGTAATCAAGTGGATCATTCATTTGCTAACCCCTCGGGTTTCGCGCTCAACCCGTGCACGCTGTTCAAAAATGACAAGTTACTCAAACCGGCGTGGCTGCTAAAGCGGGAGAGCATGTTGCATTTCTTTGAAAATGATTAAATGGCATGTACTATGTCCTCTGTGACTCGGCTAACTCAATATCCTCACCCTCGGGCGGTCTCAACACTTCCCTCTCCGCTTCGTTTTCTTCTATTTGCTCCATGGTTACATACTTCGAAGCGTTCCTCTTTGTCCAACTCCTGTAACCCAAGTAACCTAGACCCGCCAGCAGAACCGCTACCCCCGCTAGGGTTCCGACAACTTTGCCAACAGCCCTCGCCGCAGTTTGTGTGGCGGCCCTGAAACAAAAGCACGGAATCCCAAATAGAGGAGATCTGCGACTGCAAGAGTTTGTTATGAAGTGACATTCCCAGCGAACTTAAGAGACGAAGATGCAAATACGTGCGTCTGATACGATTCAGAACTACGTTGTCGAGATTCAAAAAAGCGATGGGCCTTATGACGAAGGCTGCACAGCAGAAAGTGAAATCTCGGAGCAGCTGCAGATAAAACGTTCCGACAGGGTTTCATCAGCAGCGTCCATAAGAACATCCAATTCTCCGCCAAACGAAGCGAGAAAAGGCCGACCGGCGGCAAACACCGACCGATCGTCACAATCTTCGCAGCAGCCCTGCAAGAACCTCACACTCAAGGGACCGACCGCAAACCTCAATCCCTGAGCAGATTGAAAAGAAGAAAGAAGCCCCGGTTGCTAAAAATCCGCATAACCCCTTACGTTCAGCGGTAAAGCACAGGTTCTCACATTGGTGCAGCAAGCGCACACCCAGGCAGTCAGCACGATTGCATTCATCAAGAAGGCCCAGCTAGGCACACAACGAATAAACCCTTAACGCATTGATTGCAGCAATAAAGCAACGATTGCACATAAGAGCAGCAACCGCAAACTGCCAAACAACCGCAGGCTTGAGAACCCCCGACTGAGCAAACATTGCATGGACCGCTTACGTCGGCACCGCCACCGCCACGGCCGGCATCCGGCAATTGCCTAGGAAGCCCCGCTTGAGCACTCAACGCATGAATCCTTACGCTCAGCTATATTGCAACGAATTCAATGTGAGCAATAGTCGCAAAGTGCATTTCAACGCGCAGACTTGGATTCACAAGCGAAGCCCCGACTGGCCAAAAGTCGCAAAAGCTCTTACATTGGCGCCGCGGCGGCCCCTGCCGGCAGCCGGTGTATGCTGGTTACGCTGTACTCCCCGAAGACCTCGGGAAGGACCACCTCGTTCCTTTCTAGCCCGCCCACAATCCGCTGCTCCCCCCCGGATTCAAACGCGGCCAACCCGGGCCCGGGGTGAATTACTAAATCTACTGACACCCCCCCCGGGGGGGTGGGAAGCCGCCGGGCGCCCACTACTTCCAACTGCGAAAAGAGGGCCGAAAAGAGGGGTCTTATTTTAGGGGCCATTGGCAAGTACTTAACGGGGTTTTGTTCGATATTCTCTCGGGCCCGGAATGGATCACCAGGTCTACTGACACCCCTCCACGGGAAGAGGGGAGTCGCCGGGCTCCCACTACTTAAAACTGTGAGGAGAAAGGGCGGGAATCTCATTCAGGGGCTTACTTGGAATTCATATGTTGTCCTTGATTAACGTGAGCCATCTGCAAGTGCTTAAGCAGTAATTACAGTCCGCATCTCGAAGAAGCTGTCGGTTGGGTTAATACCCTTGGGTTGAATTTATCCGCATGGCCATTTGAGCAACTTTTTCAAAGAAGGATGGCTGAAGGGGGTTTTTGACGGGTCCTACTGCTCGAACAGCAACCTGCGGCGATCACATTGTGTAAGAGACCCCGACATACTGACTTACAGTGATCAAACGTTTCGAGCTTTTGGAGGGACAAAACTATCTTATCATCTTCATTGCCTACTCGGATTGCTCATGCTCTACAGTTCCAACTCAGACCCCGAGGACTCGCTCTGGTTTCCCAAGGCGACCAGTAGAAGCAATCAAAAGAAGGATACGCCTCCTGGAAGGCTTCATATATGATACTTTGATTTTGTGACTTGCAAGGCCACAGTAAACAGTATGTAACAGACGCTGAAAGGGCTAATCTAAGGAAAGGGCTAACCTAAGGGGTTTACGCGCTCTGCATCTGTGTCCACTGCATCTGTGACCACGTGAACCGCACCCGTATCCCCACGTGGACCAGACTAACCCGATAAATACGAGATGCAAACACTTAACTACCATGCACCAGGTTTAAACGGATAAGGGGCCTACCTGGGTCGATGCAACTTGCAGCTGTTGTGAAAGATCATCCACAAAGATGGGCGTCAGGCGGTTCCACGTTTCCATGTCGATCATAAGCTCCATGCTCACGCGGATCTCCCCAACTCGACACGTGGCACACGCTGCACAGAGCAAAGAGAGATAACTTTTTTAGGTCTCACTGCCATTGCAATGACGTACTCAAGACCTCGTGCTACTGCGCTTCTCAGGCTACCGAAATCTTTCACTGGCAGCAAAGCATGAAAGAGTCACTCGACACGGCTAGCCTTCCCTTTTCCATCACAGGTCTAAGGAAAGGTTGGTCTGTGCGTAGTTAGGAACTCATCCAACACATAGAAAAGTTCGTGCCGTAAATGGACTACAGTTCAAGAGAAGCATGACAGGTTGGAATTCAGTATTTGCTGGAAAGTCGTTCAACAAATTCCCTCGTACCTTCCACAGGTGGTGGTGGAGAGCCCATTCCCGCCCCTTGCGTGGGCGAAGCGCTTTGGGTCTTTTCTGGGGGGGACGGCGGAAGGGTTGCAGGGGCATGCGTTCCGGCCGTCTCTGGTTCCGTTTCCGTCTGTCCGCTTGACGGAACCGGAACCGGAGCCTGGGTCGATTCTGGGGAGGCGGTTTGTTTGGGGGCGTCGAGGAGATCGGCGCAGTCCCGGCGGACGAAGCCGAAGCGGTTGTTAACGCGGTCGTAGCGAACCAGCATGTTGCGAACGGTGATGCCTAGCAAAGGAAGGCGACAAGGCGTCACTTGGACGGCAAGAAAAGCAGGGCAGATTCACAAGCATTCAATGAGTCCAACTATGAGCACGGCGACTCCTGGTGAAGAAAGAAGACTCGGTTAATCGAACGTTTCGACAGTTGGTACTGTGAACATACGATAAAAGAAGGACCTTTGTGGAAGCATAAGCAGAACCTTTGTAACAATGAGATCGTTCGACACAATCAACTTAGCTCCACAGATCCTGAGTGACCACAAGGTAAGGATGGCAGTGCAACACTATAAGCTGGGATCTGATGAGAGATCTGTGCCCGCTCCCATACCTCAGCAGAACAAAGCCTTTTGCATCTAGTCTTCACAAGACGCTGGCTGCAGATTGGTGCTCCCCGGTCAGATGCACGATACACATTGTCCACTACATCATTCCCGTCTTCAATAATTGGACCCACCGCATATGTGATTATCAATCCCAGACCAACCAGCTCGCAGAAGGGAGAGATCGATCATGACCATCAGGTCCGTATCCGAGCAAACAAACACCGCTACAGAAACGATCAACCAATCTTGTTCTGATGCCCTTTCTTTGGCATCGGCTGGCCAGACTAATCACAGAACCCTTCTGAATTGAGACTAGGAAGCATCCTTTCCAAAGGCAACTTAGATTGCAAACGAAACGATTATTGAGTGGTACATTATAACCTGCAAAAGAAAGAAAGTTGGAATAAAGTCTCACCTCCAATCAGCGACCCCTGGTCCTGGTTCTCAAACAACCCGAGGCAGTAGGCGCCCGGCTCGGCGTGCTTGAACAAAAAGTTTTCGGGGGCTAGCTCCAGGCTCCAGGGGGCCCCCTGCCATCCCCCCATTTCGAAGGAGACCGTCGGGAAGTGCGCGGCGAGCTGCGTGAGATCGTCCCCTGCGCCTGAGAAGCAGATGTCCGGGTACTTGGGATCGGGGCCGGCAATGCGGGGGAGCTTGATTCCGGCCAGGAACTGGAAGATGGAAAAAGAAAACTTTGAAAGCGGATATTTGGGAAAGGGCATTTACGGGAGTAACTCCTGATAAAAGCTGTCGCGCGGACGAGTTGAATCCCACGTCGGGGTACGTGGCATCGGGGCCGGGAATGCGGGGGAGCTTGATTCCCGCCAAGAACTGGGAAACGGAAAAAGGAAGAGTTGGCAATGAATGTTTCGACACGGAATCGAGAGAGTCTGAGAAGATGTGTGCTTAGGATCGGGGCCGGCAATTCGCGGGAGCTTGATCCCCGCCAAGAACTGGGAAATGGAAAGAGGACGCGGATTGGAAGAGGAAGTCTGGAGAAGGAAAAACGTGCAGATTCCTCTTAGCGGTGGAATTCTGCCCGAAAGCAGACCTGGGCTGGTTGGATCAGTAGAAGAAAGATGGGAATCTGAAAGAGGGGAACTCGCAAGTGACTGAGGCGAGGAGAAAAGGAAAGATTTTGTGCCTCTGAGTCTTACACAACACCTCGACTGGTCAGTTTGTCCAACAGCATCGCGCAAAGAAAACCCGCTTTGTGCTGAACACACGAAGAAGTACCTCAGAACCTGGTTTGTCATACACAACAAAGCAAGGGCTGGTATCGAATAACCTCGACACTCGCTAACCCAGTCAGAACGTCTTGGAACGACCAAAATCAGCCAGGCCTTTCTGCGCGCAATGACGCTCACCAACTCTGATGCTCGAAGCGGACCCGGACGAGTTCCAAACATCCGACTTCGGAATGCGCTTTGACAGCGCGGTTTCTCAACAGAAAGGTTTCGGAGACTTCCAATACGAAACCTTTCTCGAGTTTCGCGCAAAAATAGAGGCCCCTAACCTGCTTTTCGGATACTGCTCAAGGGACTCCGAAGAGTTTCGGATTCAAAACCTTACTCACGTACCACAAAGCAACCGCGGCCCCTCACCTGCGATTGAAACACTGCCCACACGGGCGGCGGGAGGTACGTAAACGTGGTCCCGCTATCAAGGACCGCCCCGTAACCGTTCTGGAACGCGGTGCTCGCGAGCGAGAGGGCTCTCCCCCCGACGCTCATGCCCGCAATGACCAGGCTGTAGTACGGGCTGCGCCTGCAAGCGGAGTGCGGACGTCCGATCAACTGGGTTAGGAACGTCCGTTGTAGGTGGGTTAGGGACGTCCATGAGAAGTGGGTTAAAAACGTCTTTTGTAGGTGGGTTGAAAACCTCACAAGAGGTGGGTGAAGGACGTCCGTTACAGGTGGGTTATGCACGTTTGGGAGAGGTGGGTCAGGAAAGGTGCGTTCAGGTGGATTCAAACAAGCTGTCGAGTGGTCTTTTGGCGAGATACAATTCCATAAGGAGGAATCTGCAACCGATTTTTAAAAAACGTATGGTTGCAAGGGGGGTGCGGACGGCCAAATAGCTGGGTTAGGAGCGTTCGTTTGAGGTGGGTTCGGACGAGCTGTCTCTCTTTGATTAGATGAGTTCCAGCAGTCTGTAAAGATTCCGAAAACCGCATGGGTGGAAAGTGACTGCGAGATAGCGGACGACGACCAACAAAGAATGGTTGAATTTATTCGGGACGCCCATGAGAGGCAGTTCGATGCTCTAAGGAGCCAGGTCCTAGTCTTCGCTTTTCTTCAAGGAGCAAAGACAAGGACAGTCAATTCGTCAGCGGAACGACCCTGGACCTTGTTTCACATCATCCAAGGCTTTGAGAAACCAGGGTGTCCATTGCGTAAGCCGTTGGATCTGAATCCTGCCGTGCATCTGACGATTACGATAACATAGAAAGACAAACTGCCTCCAAAGTGACAGCACCGGAGTTCCGACAGGCACACGGGTCGCCTTTGCTGAATAACCATTTTACATTGTGCCCCTCACTCGGAAAAACAAACTAGAGGATGAAGGCGTGTTCTCACTCTCGGGCCGGGTCGAAGGGCGTGAACTTCATATCTGGGGGGGGTTGGTCAGCACCCAATACCATCATTCCGTTGCCCTTTTCCATCCCCCCGTAGCAGAGCGAAAACACGTCCTCCATCGCGCCCTGGTTAGCCATTTGGGTCACGATCGAGAAGTGACCCCGCCCTGAGAGAAGCAATCACAAAATAGGGTCGTTTAACAGGGCGCCAACAGAGTTGACGTCACGGTTTCGAACATGGCGGAGGAGGTGATGTCATGCATCCTCTGATAGTTACGAGAAGTGATGTCGAGAGGCGGCATAAGCATCTGCGACTTGGGGAAGGGACGTCGTTGTTTGATGCGGAAAGTACCCCAGACATCCCAACAAAAGTCGACAAAAGCAGGTCCGAAACTCTTCGAAGCTAATGGTGGTCCTTTAAGTAAGCTCCTGCCAACTATCGAGAAAGTCTTGACGCTTGCTGACACAAATACTTCACTTCGGAGATAACATAGACAGAAGCAAGACCGACAAGAAGGACGAGACGAAGGATAAACGAAACGAGAAGGGACACCAAACCAGCACAACCCACCAAGCCCCGTGATCCCGTCAGCCTGTTGCGTATACAAGTCCCCCGTTTCGATCAACTCGCACCCGAACATGATGCGGGGCTCGCCGAGTGTGTGGTGAGCGAAAAAGTCGATGACGTCAGTGGCAACGAGGCCGCTGGTGCTGCTCATCTCGGCATAGTGACGTTGGTACCTGTGACAGAAACGAAGAGCTTCTA